GGAGACCCATTAATGAGGGTCCAGGAAGATTAAAGTGTTCTCCAACAGGTTTTTGTGTATTGCCTTTTCGGATATCTGGTTTGTGTCCATTAATTCTTTCCCATAGAGAAAGCTTCTTAATATATAGGAGTAATGTACTACCCAGAGGATGTTGCAGTTGCTGCTATAGTTGCTGATTTATCTTCTGATGCCTTGAGAGGAAGATTAGAACTGTGAGCCAATGGGAAGGAAGAGACAGATCAGATGAGGAACCAGGAGCTGAGACTGGGACTGGGATGAGAATCCTCTGTAAGGGTATGTCTACACTGCAGCATTATTTTGAAATATCTTATTTTTAAATAGTTAATTCGAAATAAGTTATTTTGAAATAACATGTCTACACACAAAATGCATTTTGAAATAGCATTTTGCTATTTCGAAATAGTGCGTCCACACTGAGTGGATGCTGAATTGTATTTAAGGCCAGCTGGCACCAGGTCCGGCAGGGCATCAGGTCAGGAGTTACATTGTGTGGCTGCTGCCTGAGGCTATCTGAGGCCTGTGCTTAAAGGGACGCCCCCTGGACAGCCAGTTCTCAGCTTTCCCTGCTTGCTTGCCTACCTCGACGAGGGACAGCAAAGCATTTTGTCTCTGCGTGCTCTGGTTGCCCTCACTTGCGACACCACAGCGCTCTGCAACATGGAACCAGAGCTGCCCCTGGGCACTCTGGTGCTTCTCATGGACGCGTTTCTGCGAGCCTGGCTGTACTTTCTGCAGGCTGCCATCCAGGAGGTCCATCGGGGGGCTGTCAGTATCCAGGAGGCCCTGCAGAGCACTAACAGTCTCCCTAGTGTGACCCACGGAAGGGCTTGTGCCTCATTCCTCCCTCACATCCTTCCACTTACTCCTTCCTAACCCCCCTTCCTGATGTCAAATGAAATACATGTATTTTCATGAACACAAACTCTCTTTATTTAACAAAACTGGAGGAGGGGCATAAAACTCTGGTGAGACTGGAGAAAGGAGACAGGACAGGGGAGAAGAGAGGGTGGAGAGGGGAGGAGGAAACCTAGGAGGAGGGAGCTGAAAGGGGGAAGAAGGCGGAGGGGAAGCTCAGGGCTCAGGGTTAGGGGTCTTGCCGGACCAACTTGATTTTCATGCAAACCTGCTCCTGGGTTCACATGTGGCCTTTGGTGGCCAGGCTGGCAGCTATTCTGCCATAGATGGCCATGTTCCTTTGTCTAGTATGGAGATCATGGATGTTGGGGCATCTCCCCCAAACCTGAATAAGGTTCATGATCTCTACCCTGGACCAAGAAGGTGCCCGCCTTCTCTGGGCCCTGGTAGGCTCCTAGGAGCTGGCAGACTGCTCCTGGGGAGTGGTGGAGGGCTGGCTGCCAGTGGCTTGCTGGCTCATGTTTTGGGGCCACTGGGTCAGGGCAGTGACTGCTGGTTCTGGGCTGGCAGGCTTGGAGCTGGCACAGGCATTGTGGCCAGAGTCAACCCCTTTAAGGGCTCCGGAGAGGGGAAAGGGAGAGGAGTGTTCTTGGTTGAGGCTGGAGTGGCCACCAGGGCACCCTGGGAAGGCTGGAGGCCCCCTATTTTGATATAAGTGTCTACACAGCACTTATTTCAAAACAGCTATTTCGAATTTGGTGTTATTCCTTGTGGAATGAAGTTTACCAAATTCAGAATAAGTGCGCCGCTATTTCAAATTAATTTCGAAATAGCAGTTTGGCTGTGTAGATGCTAGTAAAGTTAGTTTGAAATAACGGCTGGTATTTCAAAATAACTTCGCTGTGTAGACATACCCTAACTCTATTTTTAGTCTCCACTCCTCAAAGAGAAAGGGACTGGGATATAGAACCAAGGTTGTGGAAGAGGCAGGACTGTAACATTATGGGGCAGAAGGGATCAAATTTGGATGGAAAAATATGTGATAATTAAATTAGATCACCTCATACTGTTTATGCATGGGAGGGTCAAAATTGAGATTGCACAGAATACATGTAAGAAAGTTAGGCAGAAATTCACTCATGAAGAAAATCATCCCACAACTTTCTACTGGTGCCCTTACTTTATTATTATTTCTTCCTTTCTTATTTCACTTAAGGAGGACAGTCCCCAGGCATCTCTCCAGTTTCAGCCTGATATTTGTGTGGCACCCACTGCAAACTGCCATTGTATGGATTTTCTTCTACTGCTGTGGAAAAACTAGCAGAATGGTGCTCTCACTGGGAGAACAACACTGAGTAATATTCAGACCTGTGAGGTTGCTTATGGACACTAAAACAGTGATGATGAGTGACTCCTGATCATACAACTAGTCCTAGAAAAGAGTGAATAAAATGGAATCTCTTTGGGAGCTACAGCATGAGTGGCATCACCGAAAATATATATAAACAGGAAGGGGGTGGGAAGGGGTGTGAGAAAAGCAGTGGCCTCATAGGGAGCGGGAATCTGGAGGAACGCCTTCTTGTTTGGGAGAAAATCTGACAGAGTTGGCAACTTCCCAAGTAAATCTCACCCTTCCTCTGAGAATGTATTAGACCACCAATGCATGAATATGATTCATGATTATCCTACTCTTTTCCCAGCCACGGGGGAAGTAGAACACACTGGGTTAGTGCATGACATGGGAAGAAGGCAAGGTGGTGGCAGAAAGGGTCAGGGCCGGAAACAGACAGGCCCCCGGACCTGTTGGAAGTCCCAGGACAGATTGCACAATTGCTCTGGCAAGGGATGGTGCATGGGCAGAGAGTTTGAGATCCTGCTGTACACCTTCACTGACTGACTCAGGCTGCTCTTAATCAAACATGCAGTCTCCCTGAAGCTAGAGGTACTACTGATGTGAATTGGTATTATTCACTATGAGCACTCTCCACCTCTGGGCCTCTTCTGCGTAAGTGTATTTTTTTTGGTTGCTGTAAAATATTGCTAGCACCTACTCTGCTATTCCCACCTTCTCCCTTCACAGACTAAGCTAACAAAACAAAACTTTGTTTGAATATGTTCCTCTATCCATCTAGCCTGTGGCAGTGAGCTAGGGAAATGATGTAAACAAGCACTTTGAGAAAGCACTCCTCTAATCTTCTGTGTCACGAGTGACAGAAATATGATACTCTCTCTGCCTAAGCATGCTTCACAGAATACAGGGCTATGGGCATGGAAAAATACAGTGGACCAGTATTTCAACTCCTATGATGACAGCAGTTATGCTTGAGTTCTAGGTGCATTTTAGGACTGAGTTGTGCAAAACTTCACCGATCTCTTTATTGCATGGATGAAAGGGAGCCCACTGTTTGGTGAATTATCTCTGCCTGACATTAATGCAAGTGTTTCTGTCCTTATAGGACCCAAAATAAAGAACAATCAAGACAGAACAACAAAAGCCCTTGGGAAACAGGATTTTTGTAATATCAAAGAGCTTGAGAGAGTAATGTGGTTTTCTTGATCACGTGATTTCAAAGGGCTTGATTCTACTCAACCCCCCTCACTCAGGGTCAATAATATTTAATTCCCAGAGTGTCTTCATTCATTGACTGAGGCTGTGGAAATTAGACACCATTCATGGTGAATCAGGATGAAAATCTGTCCCCAAAAATTAGTTGCCCAAGTAGCTACCATAATTTAAACTGCCTCACACTTCTCTGGACATTACGGGTAGCTGGTTTGGGTAAACAGCATAATGTTGACATCCTCTGCCAGACTCTTTTAGGGAGTAATTATTGGTGAGGCTCCTTTCTGCTCCACCCTATGCTTTAACTTACCTGAAACTTCTTACAATGTTAAAGAGAAGATTAAAGGTCAAGTCCTGGTGCCTTTACTGTCACAGCCAGACCCTCTTACTTAAAATGTATTATTTGTGTGAGGATTATTTCCTTAAATAGAGATTGCAGTATCCGTCAGGACCTAGGTTACTGAAACTTCAGATATTACAAGTTATTCAGCACTCAGCCTCCATGTGTCTATGGCTACTCACTGAGTATAAACAATGGAAATATATTCCTCCCCATTCAGTGTCTCTAACTTGAATTTCAAGAAAAGTACACTTATGTAAGCAGGAATACCTTCATCATAAAGAGAAAAACTATTCTGTTACATCATGAAACTTAATCTCTGAAAAAACACAGTGTGCCTTCCAGAAGTCAACAACCCTTTTTAAAAATCCCTAATCATAGTAGAGATGTCACTGGTTAACCAGGGACCCAGCTGGACTGGAACAGCCGCCCTGGGCAGGCGCACTGTGCTGCACTGTGAGCACTCCAACCCAATTGAGCCCACCGCACTCCAGGAGGAGGCTGAAGCGGCCTCCCTCCTGCGGGCTCTCAGGTAAACGATTAACCATTAAATGTCATGTTTAAGCAGTTAACTGCTTAACTGGGATATGACACCCCTAACTCATACACAATTTAGCATAATGTAATGCCAGGTTAAATATCAACTACAATCTTTCTTCTAAAGAATCTTTGATTGAAATGCCATTGAAAACAATATGGAACTGAAAACCAGATTAAGGAAACAGAATAACTTCTGGGGTCTTGTGTACCTGTCAGGATAGTCTTCCAGCCACATCAGTACATCAAAAAAAAAATTAAGATAGGAACACTTGGCTCAATATGATTATGAAAATACATACTAAGGGCCAAATCTTATAGTCTTTAGGTCCTGATTCAAAGCCCAATGAAACCAGACAGCCTTTTTTAAATTGACATTGTAGTCCAGTTAGACCTGTCCCTTAGTCATCATTATATGGAGAAAACTCCCATTGACCTCAATAGGAATACTGACTGACTGGACTAAAGAAGAGCCTGATATTACAGACACTCTTTGCATGGAACAATACCTGACTTCAACAAGATTACGATACAGAGGGATTTGTAGTATCAGGTACTATGTGTGTAGGAGTTCAATCTTGCAAACATTAAATATGATAGTATGTTACTTATTATACAAATTAAAGTCTTTAACAGAAAATTTTATTTCATTGCCATTGTGCTATATTTTCTTTTTCTTTTTGCTATTCATTTGCTGTAATCCTATTTCAGTCCCGTCTTACTTAACAACCTATTTTCTTTCTTCTGTGCAAAGACTGCTGGGAGTGTGTAATTGTCTTCCTCTTAGTTTATCAATTTGTGCCCATAAAACTCTTGCAAGATCAGCTTGAGCAATCCTTTCAGAGCCAAAGTTTAAGATAACCCTTTCAGTTTGTTGGTAGTTCTCTTAAAGGATAAAGAGTTGTGAGTTTGCTAAAATATATGCCTTGAAATATTTTAATTCACTTTGAAAATGTGATCTCTGAATATCCACATCTTTGTTACGTAAAGGGGCTAGCAGCCTCATGATGTCTTTGTTTACAACTATACTATCCTCTGTGACAAAGGCAGTATCATATTCCAGTTCTGGGTTGGTTGCTAGGGCACAGTGAAAAACTGTGGAGTAGAATAGTTTATAATCCAATACACTTGAAATAACTAGAAAAGCATTCATATATTAGAGTGGTTGGTTCTGTTGAAGGTGGCCTAGTGGCACCACTTTGTATGGTAATGAAAGGAAACTTCCAGCTTCCATTTCCACTCCTCAGCCCAGTACAAACAGAGGCCCCAAAATGATGCTCATGCAGTGTTCATTCCTGCAAGTTGTTGGACATTCCAGTGAGGTATTTACTGCCCTCAATTCCCACTTTCTTCAATAGGGGTTGAAAAGATGTGGCACTTTGCAGGATTGTTGTGTCTTTGGAGTATTGAGACTTTGGAGTGGGGAATAGCACTCTGTCTGTCATTCAACAACAACCCCTTTGCCAAACAAGGTGAGGCCCTGACAGACTCTGGAAAAAGTCTTGCTAGTTCTGTGAGTAGCAGAAAAGCTGTGACAGCAAAGTGAGGCCCCAAGGGGCCAGATCCCGATCCCATTGAAGTTGATGGGAATCTCTTCAGTTTGTTCACTGGGTTTAGGATTAGGCCTCAAGTATGGATGGTTCAAAGCTAAGGGAAGACAACAGGGCAGGCAAAATGGACCAGTACACTACTCTCTGAAACTGGTATTGAGGGGAAAATATAATACAAGTATATTTTAAAATGTATTAAAATTGCATCCCTACTCTATATATATTATCATTCTTTATTTAAGCAATATTTTCCTGTGAGACTTTTTTTCTTCTTTTAGCAGATCAGATTATCATGCAGATTTGGATAACATCCATATTAGAGTAATGGGCCTAATTCTGATAAAACTTACATCAGTAGAGTTCAAGAGTAACTCCATTAACTTCCATGAAGTTACACTAGTGTAAAAATCTGTGGGAAAATAGAATAAGGCCCACTTTATGTAAGCATGCATAACACTTTCAATTATTATAACTGGAATTATTTATTAACTAATTTACTTTTATTTATGTGGTTTGTTTACTTTCTGCATTTCACTCAATTTGGACAAAGGAAAAAGATGATTTCACATTTATAGTTGGTAGCAGTGTTTGAAAGGCAAACTTGTACATGCATATTTATTTGTTTCTGTGCTTAATTTGGAAATTATAAATGTTTATGCATATTTATACTGAACCTATATTGACTTAAAAACTTACTTCTTCTGAACATAAATATGGATATAGATTTAGAGAAATTCAATGGTCAAGTTTTAAGATATGATTGTTCTTCTATTATATGATGACAGGTTGAATGTGATGCTGAAGACAGCATAATGAAATTACCCTATGTGCACCAAACTCAACTACAAAGATATTGTACCAGCAGTGCTAAACTTAAAGTTGTGTCACACCCTTATTAATGGCTACTTGCTGAAATTGATAACTTCAAGAAAATATACTCCAACCTGACACTTACTATATAATGGATCTATTCTACAAAGCTGCAGAGGATAATTAATATAGACCAGTCGGTAGCTTTAATTTTACATTTATATTCCCATAAAAGTAAAAGTGATTTTATTGTTATTGATAACTTGCAGGCTACTTGCCTTGGTAATTTTTTAAATTTAAAAATGTCTTCTCTGCAGACCCAAAGCCTTCCTCATGGGAGCTATACACACATTTATGGCAGACATGAGAGATATTGTCACTAAAAACCATTTCCAAGCTGAAAGGATTTTGAGACTAGATATTCATTAGATACATATTATGTCTGCACTCAAATTAATGCACACAACTCCTATTAGTGTCTTTAAAAAAATGCAAGTACCTGTAACCTTACACATATAAGCAACTGCATTAAACTGATTAAAAAAATATAGTGTATATAAACATGAGTAACCATTTATTATGTTTATATGCACCTACACCTGCACATATCCAAAAGCAGATTTCAGTCATATTTAATGAACAATCAAGAGTTCTTTAATGTCCCTTCATTGTGGTAGCTCCTGTCAGTACCTTAAGGACTTTTGTCCTCTGAATATAATATTTGCTAAGTATTTTAACAGCGGAGATATGAAATGAATGCACGAAAATCTAATTTGTGCCCCCTCCCTCCTTTGGTCCAAAGACGACAGCAAGCATGCATGGTTAATAGACTGGGTTGGGCAATCAGAGGGAGTCTCTTCTCTGCGTATTACGGTACAAGGGTTGGCCCTCCTCTGGTCCACCTGCCACAGGGTTTAAAGTTTCAGCCGATCGGGAAATACAATGACTTGGATCAAACGGCCTGGAGGGGAAGCCTGATTATACCAGGGAAGTGGATAAACTGTAGCTATCTTGGGAGAAGACGGAGAGAGCCCGTCGGCGCGCACATGACAGGCTGTAAGCAGCTCAGCCTGCATCCTGGAAGCCCAGGGCAGTGAGGACGCAGCAGACGCAGGGCTACATGGGGGAGGGGGGTTAGGCGCCTGCTGCATCTTGCCTTGACTCCTTCCAAAGGCCAGACCCTTATGCAATGAGCAGCCCGGCGCAATCCACCCGTTAGAGCAACACGAGGCGCAAGCACAAGGAGGGCGCGGGGCAGCCTCCCTGGGCGGATTTTTTTCTTGCTGTATTTCGTCCGAGACAGTTGCTTGCTTTGCAGCTGGTGACAGAAAAGGGGAGGAAGCGGCCGAAGCGGTTCGCAAATCCGACAGTGCGGCTGGCGAGCTGCGCCTCATGTCTCCTGCGGGTCACCTGCCCGGCTTGTCCGCCCCTCTCGGGGCTGCCGCCGGGCTCGCACAGACTCTGCTCACATGGAGAGGTCGGTGAGCCCGGGCCACTGCGGCTAGCGCCGGCTCCTCCGCTGCGCCTCGCTCGGAAAACCCTGCTGCGCACCAGCGATGGAAGACGGCCCCCTCCCAGACCTGCGCGACATCGAGCTGAAATTGGGGCGCAAAGTGCCCGAGAGCCTGGTGCGCTCGCTGCGCGGGGAGGAGCCCGCTGCCCGGGACCGGAGCGGCGGCGGCTTTTGCCCTGCTTCAGCCCCTGGGGCCTCCCGGCTGAGCAGCAGCGCCAGTGCCCTGGAGAGACTGGAAACCAAACTTCACCTCCTCAAGCAGGAGATGGTGAGTCTGGCCGGCCGCACCGTGCGCGGGAATTCTTGCTGCCCCCCGCGCCGTGGGGAGAGGGGGCTTCCCGACTGGGAGCGCAGAGCGAGCCCTCCGCCCCGCTGTCGCAGCCTAGGGCGTCTGTCTGGCGCGGCAGGGGCAGGGGGGCTCTCCCCCCCTGCCCGGCCACCATTCCCTTTTCGGCAGCCCCCTGCCTGTCAGAGTGCGCGCTGCGAGAGGAGGCCGCTTGGCTGCCTGCTCCTCACCCACGCACCTCTCCTGACTAGAGGGCAGAGCCGTGCGGAATCTGTTCAGAGGGGGGCTCTTTGAGGGGATCAGCTCCTGGGCTCCATAATGAGCGTTGCTTCTGTGGCCACGTGGCATACGTTACAAATAAGATGCAGTGACCAACTTACAGCTAATATCCCTGCCCTGGTGGTTCTTGAATTCTTGTAAACAAATCGAATCTGGTATGATCTACTCCCCATACTTTGCTGAACTTTTCTCCCCTCTCCCTCCCTTCCAACAGTATTTCCGGGTAGGGTGAAGTGCTGCTGATCTCTAGGCCCCTATGCAATTAATTCCCATCACTGGCTCGCCCACACAAAACCGATTCTGAAAACAATCCTGTTCTGGCTAGGCCAAAGGAAAGCAGCTACATACCTCCCCCACTTCCTTTCTAGAAGCACTGCCATCTATCAGTTGAAGTCTTTGGCAAGGTCCAGCCACTCCCCATACACACTATTGCTGGTTTCCTAATCCCATGTGAACATGGCCCCTTAAAAAACCATCATGATAGATTAAAAGTGCTCCGCCCTATTAGTGTATCAAAGGATGACTTGATTGCAACCTGTAAGCACCTTTGTGCAGAACAGACTCTTCAGTCCAGCAGAAGGTATAACAAACCAGTGACTGGAAGTTGGAGCTAGTCATATTCAGAGTGGCAAAAAGGCATATATTTTAATAAGTTTGGAGTAATTAATCAATGGAACAATGTACCTAGTGGTGTGGATTCTCCAACGTTGATGATTGCTGGCTCAAGCAAGGATTTTTTCTCAAGGATATGCTCTAGGAATTATTTTGAGGAAGTTCAATGGCTTATGCCATACAGAAGGTGAGAATAGATCAGCGGTGGGAAGTGGTGCTAGCTGGGCCACAGCTTCTTGCAGCTCCCATTGGCCCTGAACCCCAAACTGTGGGCCATGAAACCTGCAAACTGCTGTAACTGCAGATGATCAGGTAAATAAAGCTCCTGGCAACCTGCCAGATGCGTCGCTAACCCTGGTGTACTGCATGCAGCCCACAGGCCCCTTATTGCCCACCCGTGGATTAGATGATTATAAAGGTCGCTTTGGTTTTAGATTTTAGGAAAAGAGCAAAAGTTTCTATAATGCATTCAAAGTACTGTAACTCTTACCTCCAAGCTGCAATCACAATTGCATAATGTCACCAAAGTGGCAGAGGGAAGATTGTTCACCTGCTAAAGAAGTTTTGCAGCTGCATGACTCTCAGGATATAAGTATTTCCTACTGTTAGCAGACAGAATGAAGAAAATTGACATCCAGTGATATTTACGTAGGTTTCACTCCTCTGAACCAGTGATACTTCAGACATCAGAAGTTATGTTAGCATATTGGTAAACATTTAAGAGAATGCCCTGAATTCTGTTTATTGTAAATCTATACAAGTACTCAATTTTAATCTGAGTAATACATTTCTAGAAGAATGTAAGATCTTTACTCCTAAAAATTGCCCTGCCTTCAGTCATTCAGTTCATAAGACTAAACTTCGGAGGTCTGTTTGTTTCTAAACTAAGTGTACTGGAATATCAGTGTGCTTCCATAAAACACACCATTTATAATTTGGCAGCGTGGCTGTTTATCTGTGATGTGCCATTGGACCATGCTATATTTATGCATATTTTAATTAAACTCTATTCAAATGGACCAGCTATGTTATGCTAGGTGTTATGTACTGGTGTTTGTTTTTCATTAGAAGACCAACTCTGTTAAGCAACTGATTTTTTTTAAATGCAGGTTTCACTTAAAATAGACTGTCCCACCATGAAATTCACAATTAGCAGCATGCATTATCACGAGTAGTCAGATTCTGATCTGTTACATCAGTGTAAGGGAAGAGTAATTCAGATGTGTTAGCTGACATTAAGGGAACCTAGCTTTACAGCAGTGGTGGACAACCTGTGGCTGTCGAATCGCACTGGAGCTCCACTTACAGCCCACAGATCCCCTCCTGCTGCCCCCTCTCCCATACACCTTTTGTGCACTGGGACACCTGAGCCCTGGACTTCCTATGCCTCTCCTCTCCCCACTAGCACTTTTGGAGGAGCTGTGAATCGCCTGATTTGTGCTCTGTCTCCATCTTCCAGCTCTGGGAGGGAGGAGGAGGAGTGGGAATGGAGTGCAAATCAGGTGATTTGCGCACGCCAAAAGTTCTGGGAGAGAGGGGGAGGATCAAGTATGTGTGTGACTCTGTAGCCTCAGTGCACAAAAGGTACATGGAGGGGCAGACAGGGGGCCTCAAGTGGAATCCCAATAGGCTGCAGGCTTGCAGAGTGCTGCAGTCTATTGAGGTGAAAGACAGCCACTCATGCGGCCCATCCCTGTTTTACAGGCTTATTAAAATAGTAGTATAGCTGAACCTCTCTGGTCTGGGCCACTGAGAGCCTCGGTGGCTGGGAACGGGAGTCAGCCCCTCCGTCTGTGGCGGGCCCAGCCTGGCCGGAGCAGCACACTGTGGGCAGGGGCACTCCAGCCTTGCCAGAGCAGTCCCCACCCATGGCAACTCCCTGGCCCAACAAACTGCAGGCAGGAGCCCTCCCATAAATTTAACCAGTTAGCTGATTAGAAGCATACAAAGAGTGGAAACTTGAACAGATGACCAGGGAGGAGTTTAAAGGTATAACTTGAGAATGCCGGGGGGTTATCAGGAAGGTGAAAGCGCAAATGGAATTGCGACTGGCTAAGGATGTGAAGGATAACAAGAAAGGGTTCTACAGGCATGTTAACAAGAAGAAGGTGATCAGAGAGGGTGTGCGGCCCCTAATGGATGAAGGAGGTAACCTAGTGACAGATGATGTGGGGAAAGCTGAAGTACTCAATGCTTTCTTTGCCTCTGTATTCACGGACAAGGTCGGCTCCTGGACTTCTGCGCCAAGTGACGCAAGATGGGATGAAGATGGACAGCCCATAGTGGGTAAAGAACAGGTTAGGAACTATTTAGAAAAGCTAAACGTACATAAATCCATGGGTCCGGACTTAGTGCATCCGAGAGTGCTGAGGGAGTTGGCAAATGTCATTGTGGAGCCTTTGGCTATTATCTTTGAAAAGTCGTGGAGATCGGGAGAAATCCCGGATGACTGGTAAAAGGCAAATGTAGTGCCCATCTTCAAAAAAGGGAAGAAGGATGATCCAGGGAACTATAGGCCAGTCAGTCTTACCTCGGTTCCTGGAAAAATCATGGAAGGGATCCTTAAGGAATCCATATTGAGGCACTTGGATGAGAGGAAAGTGATTAGGAATAGTCAGCATGGATTCACAAAGGGCAAGTCGTGCCTGACCAATCTGATTAGCTTCTATGATGAGGTAACTGGCTCTGTGGACATGGGGAAGTCAGCTTTTGCAAGACTTTTGATAGAAGGAAAACATATTTAATGTGTTGCACCCAAGAGTCAAACTTCTGTATCAGTTTATTTCTATTACTCCCCCAACTGATATATTCGGTTTTTATATTCTATAAAGTGAGTGAAAATATTTGTCTCTATGTGACAAGTTCAATTTCACTATTTATGACTTCAAATGCCCAATGCCTTTATTGTACCGTTTCATGTACAGTCCCTGTGATAAGAGCTGTCAGAGAAGTCAGAATAATAGCATGATGAATCTAGATCATTGTGAACAATTTACAATGATAGGATCAGGAAATTATCCTTTCATCTAGTTAAGGGATATTAGATTTTTCCATTACTGCTACTTTCAGCCTGCAGTATGAATAAGTCTCACTTAATTCTATCCTTTCCCCCTTCTAGCCCTAAGCAGCAAGCCAAAATGGCAGAATATTGCAGATTAATTTTTGGCGATGCACTGCTCATGGATCCACTGGAAAAATACCCAGTAAGATGGTTTGGTATTTCCCTGATCATAAACATATGTATGAATATGTATTTGCATATTTCAGTTTTTTGTTCTTCATATAGGGCCTTACAATTTAGAAGCTGCTGGCTTTTGGGGTTTAGGGTTTTAAAAAGTAATTGATGCTATTATTGGTTTAAGCATATGGCTTCTGATGTGGAGATTATTGTGGGATAATGAGTTCTAATCTTCTAAATCAAAATTGGATCTCATAGGTGCTCTTTTATAATCTGCGCTTTCACAGTTGAAATTATACTGATTATGGTTATTATTATTGTAGATAGTTCAGAGTGCATTTTTAGTTTATTTTCTAAAGCTCCTTTATAGGTATGAGATGGCAGATGGCAGAACAAGGAGCAATGGTCTCAAGCTGTGGTGGGAGAGGTCCAGGTTGGATATTAGGAAAAACTATTTCACTAGGAGGGTGGTGAAGCACTGGAATAGGTTACCTAGGGAAGTAGTGGAGTCTCCATCCCTAGAGGCGTTTAAGTCTCGGCTTGACAAAGCCCTGGCCGGGTTGATTTAGTTGGAATTGGTCCTGCATAGAGCATGGGGCTGGACTTGATGACCTTTTGAGGTCTCTTCCAGTTCTATGATTCAAGAAACGTGTCCACTTAAAAAAAAATCGGAAAAGTGGACGTGCTCTTTTGTCATCCCTGTAAACCTTGTTTTACAAGGAAGAAAGGATGTGTCAAAAGAGGAGGGTTTCTCCAAAGTTTGGTGCTGCATAGACATGCTAAATTTTGGAAAAGCCTCTTTCGAAAGAAAAGCAGGAAAAGATACTTCATTCAAACCTCATTCCACAAGGAGTAATAGTTAATTCGAACTAAGGGATTTATCTCAGAATCTTGCTTCTCTGCCACGTGTAGA